AAAAATAGGTGTTGAAAAAAAAATAGGTGTTGAGCTGTCAAATACTTTTTCTGGATCAATGAATATCATTCTGTGATTTTTCTTCTTTAGCCTGTTATTAAGGTATATTACATTGATTGCTTTTGAACTTGAACCAGTCTTATTTCTGTATATTAAGCCCCACTTGGTAGTGGTGCATAATTCTTTTTATATAATGGTAAATTTATTTGATAAAATAATGCTAAGGAGTTTGAAATCTATACTTATGTGAGAAATAGTTTCTTTTTTAGTGCTGTCTTCATCTGGATTGATATCAGGATAATACTCATTTAATAAAATGAATTAAAATATTCCATCTTCTATTTTCTGTAAGAGATTTTGTGGAATTAAAGTTGATTCTTTAAACATTTGTTAAAATTCTCCAGCGAAACTATCTGGGCTTGCCAATTTCCTTAAGAGGAGTTTTTAAATTAAAAATTCAGTTTCTTTAATAGTCATAGGACCATTCAAATTATCTGTTTCTTATTGGGTGAGCCACAGTAGTTTGCATATTTTGAGGACTTATTACATTTCATCTAAATTGTCAAATTTATGTGTATAGAGTTTTCATAGCATTTCCTTATTATCCTTTGGGTGTCTGTAAGTTTGTCATGATAACCCCTGTTTAATTCCTACTACTGACAGTTTGTTCTTGTTTTTTTGTTTTTTGTATAGTCAGTCTTGGAAATTTGTCAATTTTATTGTCTTTTTCACAAAACAAGTTTTGTTTTATTGATCTTCTCTATTGATTTTCTGTCATCAATTTCTTTTTTTTTCCTCATTACTTCTGTCCTGCTTGCTTTGCTCTTTGAATTCTTCAGATGTGTGCTTATATTGTTAATTTGAGACCTTCTTTTCTTTTCTTGTTTTTGGTACTGGGGATTGAACTTGGGTCCTTGTGCTTGCAAGGCAGGCCACCAAACCACTGAGCTAAATCCCCATCCCTGAGACCTTCTTTTCTAATAGACATTTGATTCTAAAAATTTTCCTCCAAGCTTTTGATGGATGTCACATACCTATTTTGATATGTGTATTTTTATTTTTATCCAATTCAATGTTTTGCTTTTATTTTCCTTAGGACTCCTCTTTGACACATTTTATTTAGAAGTGTGGTATCTAACCTCCAGCTGTTTGGATATTTTCCCACTATCTTACAGTTACTGATTTCTAGCTTGAAACCATTGGGGTTGGAGAATATATTGTGTATTATTTCAGTTCTTTTAAATAAGTCAGGGTTTGTTGTATGGCCAGGATATTGTCTATCTTGGGGACTTGACTAAGTATGCATGTGTTGTTGGGTGCAATACTAGGTCTTGTTGGTTGGTGGAGTTGTTGGATGATTTTTCTATATTCTTGCTCAATTTTTTGTTTAGAAGATAGCCTATCAATTATTAAGAGAGGGATAGTGTAGTTTCTAAATAGCATAAAATATTATCATAAATAGTGAATTTTTCTGTCATATATATATAATTTGCTTCACATAGTTTGCAGCTGTTATGGAATGTATACACATTTTAAATTGCTACATTTACTTGTGGGTTGACCCTTTTATAATTATGGAAAATAATGTCTGTTATTTTTCTTCACATTGAAGTTTACTCTATTTAATATTAATATAGCCCCTTCTGCTTATTAACACTAATGTTTCCATGATATATCTTTACTTTCAACATATCTACATCATTATATTTGAAGTTAGTTTCCTGTAGATATCATGTACTTGTGTCATGATTATTAATACGCCCAGCCAATTTCTGCCTATTAATTAATGTATTTTAGACCTGTTACACTTAATGCAATGATTGATATATCGAGGCTGAAGCCTTCTATTTTGTAAGTTTTCTATTTGCTTTTTGTTTAACATACCTGTTTGTTCCTGCCTTCTTGTGGGCTAGTTGAACATTTTTTGGAATTCAATCTTGATTTATTTATAGTGTTTCTGAGTGTATATCACTGTGTAGCTTTTTTAGTGGTTGCTCTAGGTATTACATTATAGATATATAATTTATCATAGTTTACTAGACATTTTACCAGTTCAAGTTAGAAAACCCTGTCTCTTTACCCTGCTCTGTTTATAATATTATTGTCTTAAATATTTTCTCTGAATACATTTACAAACAGATTACACAGTGTTATGATTTTTGCTTCAAAGAGCAAACATAATCTAGAAGATTAATGGAAAAGAAAATGTCTTTATCTTTTTTCTGGTTCTTCTAGATATTCTGAGATTTCTTTTTGTATCATTTCCTTTGTTTAAAGAACTTCCTTTGACCTTTCCTTTTGGATAGATCTGCTGGTGACATATTCTTTTACTTTTCTTCATCGGAGATTGTTTTGATTTCTTCATTTCTCATGGATGTTTACAAGATGTAGAATTTGAGGTTGACAGTTCTTTTTCTTCAACACTTGAAAAATGTTGTGCTGCTCCCTTCTGGCCTCTATGACTTCTGATGAGAAATCCACTGTCATTTGAATTGTTTTTCCTCTAACACTAATGTATTATTTCACTTTCACTGTTTTTACTTTAATTTTCATAAGTTTTCCTATTATATGACTTGGTGTGGATTTTTTTATCTTGTCTGAAGTTTGCTCAATTTCTGGAGTCTGTACATTAACATATTAACCAAATTTGGAAATTTTTCAATGTATTTCTTTGAGTACTTTGTCAGCCCCACCTACTTTCTTCTCTCTTTCCAAGACTTTCATGACTCAGACTTTCATGACTTAGATCTTTTGTTATAGTTCTAATAATTTTTTCCATCTATTTTTCTCTATTGTTCACATTGGGTAATTTTTATTTTTCTTCAAGTTTACTGGTTATGTTTTCTATCCTCCCAATTCTGTTAAGCCCATCCACTGAGTTTATTCTGGTTACCGTGTTTTCAGCTCTGTTTCTTCTTTACATCTTCTCTTTCTTTACAGAAACTTTCTACTTCTTCCTTTGTTTCAATTATTTTTGTAAATGTTCACTGAGGTATTTTTCTGATAACTGCCTTAAAATTTTTGCCTTCGAATTCTAACATCTCTGCCATCTCAATATTGACATCACCTAATTTTCTTTTTCACTCAAGTCGATCTTTTCCTGTATGATGGGTGACCTTTAAATTGAACCTGGATGCTTATGCCATGATACTCTAGATCTTATTTAAACCTCCTGTTTTAGCCAGCTTCCTCTGATGCAGGTCCGGCCTGGGAGGCAGGAGTTTCATTTGTTCTTGTCAGGAAAGCATGGAACCCCGGATTCCCCAAATAAGGCTCTATTGTCATCTGAGGGGAGTTCCAACTGCACATGGAGGCCTCATTACCACTGGGTGCTGGTGAAAGTCCTAATTCTCCACTCTTCCTCCTCTGACACCACCCCAGTGGCTGCAGAGCGGTGGGTGTCTCATTACTATCCGAGATGCATGTGGGAATCCAGGATTCCCACAGAGGGTACGCTAGTTACCACTCAGCAGGGAGGAAAGTCTTCACTCCCGCTCAGCCTCCTCTGCCATCGCGCTGCTGAGAGGAGGACGTTGCTGCAGCCATGCACAGTAGAAGCCTGAGCTCCTCATTTGGTCTTTTTCTGGTGTTCCCAGGGGTTAGGGGTGAGGCCACGGTTCTTTCTGTGGTGTTTGATGGGGGTAGAGTGGTTATTTTCTAAAGGCTCTGTCTTATCGGGGACTTTGCTAGTTCTTCGGCTGGAGAAAGCAGGCTTTTGTTTGGACTTTTTGTTTTGTCTGTTGCTGTTGTTGTTCCCAAACAACCTGGGAACTCTCCTCAGGTCCAAGTCTAGGATATATATGAGGCAAAATGAAAACCCAAGGAATTCATTACCATTTTGTTCCTCGGGTCCTGAGGTCCCTAGCTGCTCTGACTCCTTCCTCTCCACCTTTCATAGTGTTCTTATGTTTGTTTTATGTATCTAGGGTTTTTGGGTTTCATTTGACAAGGAGATAAGGAAAAGTATATGTACTTTATCTTCCTCGAAGTGAAAAGGTTTTCACAGAAATGTGGAAGCACACCTGTTGGCGGAGGGGAAATGGGTTGATGATGATTATAATCTCTATGAAACCCAGTAGAAAAAACTAAGGGAGCTTTAGGAAGTAGAGCTTCACGGGAGATCCAAATCTGACTGAAAACTAGGTGATGGAGGCATGGAAGTGGACAGGGTTGATTGGTATGAAAGAGAGCACGGGAGTTCCAGGGGACCCTCTGAATAGGACTGCGGAGGGCACAAAGAGCAAGACAGGTGAAAAGCAGGGCAGAGCAATCTTTGCCTAAGAGCACGGAAGGGATGAGATGACACGAGGGGCTTATATCAGAGAGGTGACACAGGTATGCAAGCAGCTTTGATTGCCTGAGCAGTCAGAGACACATTCGGGCTTCACACCAGGGCTGGATCGCAGTACACTCTTGGGTTTCTAGTGACTGAGCAATGACTCTGCCATAACAGGGTGCAGGTAGGTAGAAGCAGAAATGGCATCTGCAACATTTAGGTTCCGCTTCCCGGGCGGGAACGCCCAGCCATCATCCAAATCATTTCAAATAAAGGGTTTAATTTCCCAAATGTTCTGGGAAAGTAGTGAACCACTCATTCACTCAATCCCCAAGCCCCGTTTTATCCTGATAATAAGATTTTCAGGAAAACCAGTATATATATTTCTTTCATTTAGGCACTGTGGGGTATACATTTTTAGAATATTTGAGTACTGATGTAGCCACTTTAAAACAAATGGGTGGTGTCATAATAATAGCAACAATCATAAATTTATTGAGTGCTTGTTAGATGCCATGTACTAGTCTAAGTGCTCGACACGCTTTAAATCATTAAATCCTTACAACAACCCTATAAAGTAGATACCAATTATTGTATTAGCTCCATTTTATGCCCAAGAAAACTGGGGATGTGGCAATTGAATTCAAATTATGGTCACAACTTCCACTGAATTAAAAACTGGCAATAGGTATCTTTTCTGTTACCACATTCATTATAAGAGTATCGCAAAGAATGGTGCTTTCCAATTCTTTCCCAAATAATTACTACAGTCCCGCTCTTGTGTTTATTTCAGTCACGGGGATAAAAACATAATGGGTGCTAATCTCATTCCTTTCATCCCTGGTAGTTCACTTGGTCCATTGTCCCTTTTTGTCCTGCCTTTAAAACTGGGGCAGTCATACCTGACCACTCCTCCTCCAGCCATAAAGAGTAAAGGCAATACAATATTATTGCAAAATATTTTGAAAAAAAAATTGAACTCATACTAAATTATTATTCAACCCATAGGGAGCTGAGTGGTGACTAAGAAAAGAGAAAAATCAAGAAATGGGGAAGAAAAACAAGGAGGAGAGGAGCAGTTCCATAATGAAGCATGCCTGAAGACAAAAGCTCAGAGAGATTTGGAGATGCCAGAGGTTTATTTTGAACCTGGCCTGTCCCTGGTTGGCTCTAGGCTCCTTTGGGCAGGATTTATTTTGGTATCTCACAGATGGCTACATCAGCATCAAGTAATGATGTGGGTCATCAAAAGGAGTTCCTCTGGATTGTTTCCTGAGTCTTCACCCTTGTCTCTCATGGACATTTCCAAAGGCTCCTAATAGGCAATTTTCAGGTTCACCCGCATTGATTCTGATTCATGCAAGAAATATGCTCAAGCAGCTCGTCCAGAGCAGATCCCCCAGCCTATGGTCAGTGGTGTGTGTGTGTGTGTGTGTGTGTGTGTGTGTGTGTGTGTATCCTTACAGCATTTCCTGATGAAGAATCAGTGTCACACAGATGGCATTTGTCTTTTTCTCTTGAAACTTTTTTTTTACAGATTGCATTTATCTTCATAAAAAGAAAAAAAGAATAAAATTCAACGTGACCTTATTATAAACCATTTTTAAACACTGAAAATTCCCCCTTAATGATGCATTTCCAGGGTGGGGCTGATTTGGATCCTTTTTGAGTCAAAACTATAAACAGAGAATTCCTTACTCCTGGGTTGAAGGCCATCACGGATCAACTTACTGCCTGAAAATCTGCAGATTCTCCCATCAAATTGGTGCAGACTCTGAGTAGACTTGAGGATTTCCATGCTGTCACTTTTTAGGAAAACTTGAATAACGGCAGTCCAGCGTGCAGACTCCATTTGTTTGCCTCTGTCTTCTTTCCAGAGAGGACTGCTGGCCCACACTTTTCACCAAAATATAACTCCTCAAGGTACACTTCTTTCCTCACCTCTGTTCAGAAAGAACAGCATATAAGTGGATTTTTTTAACAACTTAAATAAATTTACAATCTCCTACATGTCTTTTCTGCATCCATCTCTTCCCCTGCCCTGTACAACACCATGAAATATACTGCAGGCAGGTTAAATGGTCCTAAAATAAATTTCCATATGTCATGTCACCACTCGAACACGTTCAGCAGCTCCCATTTGCTGAAAGGATAAATTCCCAAATCTCAGTCTTCAGAATCCTCTGACACACATCTTCCTCTTCCTCCTATTTTATTTCTCTTAACAATTTCTTCATCTCAACGCTTGACAGCCCTTTCCCTTCTACATGACTAAAATCCTTCAGATCTGTGATTCTCAGAATGTGGTCCCAGGATCAACAGCTTCAGCGTCCCCTGTGAACCGGTTAGAAATGCAAATGCTTGGGCCACAACCCAGGCCTGCTGACTCAGAAACTCTGGAAGCGGGGCCCGGTGATCTGTTTTCACAAACCCTCCAGTTCTAAGAACCCTCTTCATCTTGGATTTCACCTCTTCCCAGATGCTTCCCTGATCATCAAAACTTTTATCTAAGCTCTTAAAATGCTTCCATGTTTGCCTCCCTCATTTGGCAATCACCGTATGCAGCCTTGATTGCAGTTAGCTACCTTTTATGGAAGCCAAGGATAATTTTTGCCCCTTCTCTTTTCTTTCTTCCCCTCTTTTCTCCTTCTCTTTCTTGCTTTCTTCACTCTCCTTTTCCTTCCCCCTTTCCTCAGCCCCTCTCTCCCTCCTTTCCCCATTCCCTCCCCTTCTCTTCCCTTCCTTTTCATTTTCCTTCCCTTTCCTTCCTTCCTTCCTTCTTCCACCACGGGCCCTGGCACAGACACTCAGACAGCAATCATTGGTTATCTATGGTTAGGAGGTGAGCAGAGTTCACATATTTTGGCAGTGTCTTTCTAGCTTTGAAGTCTGCAAGAAAGACATGGCCTTCCAAATTTGTCCTTTAGCTCCCATGGCAGAAACAGAATACCCAAGCCCATGTCTCAAAGGCCCTCTTCTAACACTTCTTGAATTTCACTATTCTGGAGGCACTATAAATGATTAATCCAGACCACTGTCACATTAATTATCAGTCACTAAAGCAGGTCTCAGAAAAATATTGATTTACAAAACTTGTTGGCCCAGTTAGGCTACATAACACAAAGGGTTCCTACATGGTGAATGAGAAAGGTCAATCTGTTGAAACAGTAAATTCTTGTGGCTCTCCATCTACTCCTGCACCACTCCCCAGGGATGTTATCCTTTTCAGCATGGACAGTATCATGGCCAAACACCATAAGAGGGAGCTCCTCCTCTCTCAGAGTCCACTGGCAAAATGTGTCTCACAAAATGGACACTCAGGGCCCCACCGTTTTAGTACCACCTCCTTTTATTATTTCCTCCCTTATCTGCCCATCATGAACCCCATATTTCACTGTTTTCATTTATAAGGTAACCTGCTCTTAAATGTCATGACACCCAGAGACATGTTAAAAGGCAACTAGATAGCTAAAAGTTCTGTGAAAGCAGAGGGCAATGATCTTTGTGTGACATCTCTGTGGAAAAGCAGTTTATCGTTTTTATTCCATAATTTCTCTGACCTGGGGTGTTTCAACAGGATTTGTTAGTAGAACCCAGAGAAATCATTCTGACATTATAACCCCCTTAGAAGAGTGCACACTAAAACTTTTTCGATCCAGGCACCTACCTCAATAAAACTATTTTGAGCATGAACTACCAAACAGATATATGTGCTTCTAAATTATATTTGCCTTCTACTGCTCTAATGTATTATGTGCATAACGAAGCACATACACTAAAATAGTTTGAAAGATGGGAAAAATAAACAAATTTCAAAGAGCCTTCCAATAGTTGTCCTCCTATTATCATTAATAGGTGAAAAAACAATTCACAGTCACAGGACGGGTCGTGACACCAGCAGACACTGGCAGAGGCCAACCTATATCCCCTTGACCCATCCTAGTAGTCATCAGCAAGGGTTACTGTACAAGCAACTACTTTCATCTTCCCTGGGTGTCACCAGTATGCACTGGAGAGGCCTGAAGTGCTAGGGACCAAACCACCAGGAAAGACTCCCAACAAGTGAGACATGATATGGGAGTCAGTGGATAAGTATCTCAATTTCCTTCAGCCTCAGGGGTTGGTTTGGTTCCACACAGACTTTCAGAGGGCCTCAGCTGGACAGAGTTTTGTATGTGTAAAGTGGCAACCCACTCATCACCATATCCTGTATTGGCTTTCTTGCCTTTGTATGTCAATTCCCTACTCCCAAATAGTACTTCCTGTAATCACCTCCCAAATGAGATAGTTGCATATAAACCTTTGTTTGGGGGGACTCTAAACTAAGAGAGTTTTTCTTTTTTGGTGGTATTGGAGATTGAACCCAGGACCTTCACACTGGGCTACATCCCCAGCCCTTTTTCATTTTTCGTCTTGAGATAGGTTCTTGCTAATTCATAAGTTGTCCAGGCCGGGATTGAATTTGGGATCCTTCTGACTCAACCTCCCAGAGTGCTGGGATCATAGATGTGTGCCACTCCACCCAGCTAATTGTTCATTACATATTTTAAATTGTCTCTGATAATTTTCTATCTTTTAGTAATCCGATTGGAATGTCATCATTTTATTCAACATGGCTGATCCTGAGCTACTACCAGGGTAGGAGAATTGTCAGTGCTGTCAATTTTCCTGGTTTGGTGTGTGTGTATCAGTGGCAGTGTCTTGATCTGCGTGTATTTTCTGCAGGGACATTTTAAGTTACATACCCATTTTTAGAGAGTTTTTAGTTACCACTGGATAGCAGATAAACTTTAATTCTTTACAATATGCTGAATGGAGTGATTACATGAAGGCTCTACTGTCAACTTTTCCTCTTCCTAAGGAAACCTCAAAAACCACATGGAACAAAAGACCCTCATATGGGGGAGCTCCGGCACTGGTGGCAATTTATATATTAAATAGCAGTAAAACTGGACCTCTATCCATCTATCTATCTATCTATCTATCTATCTATCTATCTATCTATCTATCTACCTACCTACCTACCTATCTATCTATCTATCTATCTATGCATTTTAGGATTTGCTCCCTACACCACAGTGTATTATCTTATGCACCTTTGGGGTTTGACAAACCACTTTGCTAGAGAATCTAAGGCCCTGTCTAGGCATCCAAAGCCAAGGAGAGGACTGAGGCCAATAGAATGTGTGAGCTCACAGGGAACCTCTTCTCACCGTGGGCGCAGGGGTTGTGGCCATCTGTGCGCTATTTCTATGAGTTGAGGCCCATGAGTTCTTGAGTTATTGAGTTTTGTGTCTGAAGGAAGAATGAGGATTTAGAGACATGGAATATGTAGGTAGAGAAAGCTGGAGAAATTAGAAACAAAGATAAAAGCGAAGAGGGCAAGGTCTTTACTTACTTATGGTTTGTTTCATGACATGGTTTTAACCCTCGATGGAGAGAGGCACTGAGTCCAATATGGAAGGAGCCATGTCATGAGCTACTCTGGGGGGACTGAACACAGTGTTTTTGATTTGGGGCTCAGGTGACAAAGAATATCTCCCAGTGCAGAGGCGAGACGTTCTCTGGATGGCTACTGAAAACAGAATGTCTCTCTGCTGTTGCATCATGGCCTGTTCAGAGAGCATGGCGAGAGAATGAGCACGGTGGAGAAATGGGAGTCCTCAGCAGCAGCAGTAGCAGCAGCGCACTGGGGCCTGCATCACGCTTCTGAGCAGATGACATCAACAAGGGGAAGCCACTGTAGGAACGAAGGAGATTTTGATCACGGTGCATGATTGGGGCCTGAAGCTGCCATCCTGGTTAACAAGCTCCCTGTGAAATCCTGCCAGGGACATCCAGGAATACTCATTTGAGAGAGGGAGGACTTTTCCAGAAAGCCAGTGACTCTGAAGCAAGTGGAATTATGCGCCAGGAAGTTTGGATTAATTTGATTTCATTATATCCCCATGGAGATATTTGGGTTACAGTAAAAGTTTGGGTCCTTTTAGTAACAAATAAGCAAGTGATTACTGAATATTAAATCATTTCTCCACTTTGCTTTCGGATTGCAAAGCTGGCCACACTGCAGATAAAATAAAAATGGCTTTCTAGCCTGTTCACTTGATGTTAGGCAATATTTGGTATAGGGGAATATTCTGTAGCATCACCTGACGGTATGATATAGAGCAAATGAGGAGGGAAACTGACATTCATAGTGCTTCTTCTAGGCAGATTTGCAAGGACAGATGTGCTTCCTACTCCTCTGAGTTGCAGAATTATAGATGTTAGACCCTGCCCTATAAATGAGTGCATCATTCCTCATGCTGAATCATTTGTACATCGCTTGAATGATATTTTGTGGACTTGACCCTTAGATTCTTCCAAGTTGAGTAATAATTTATATTAACAGATTAATCCTTGCATCGGTAATTTACAAATCCAATCATTCCCACCCAAATCCTTGCCATCTTACCTCATATGGTCATGATTTAGTAGCTCAACTGCAAAGTGAGTTCTCAAATTACCAGAGCATCATAACTTTTACCATGAATAGTATAAGACAGGTAGGAAGATGCTAAGACTCCTGGAACCAGTTAAATCTCAGGCAGAATCATCGGCTAATGGCAGCATACATACTTTGAGATTTGGTTCACATTTTAGAATGCTGAGAAACTGTCGTGCTTAAGGAAATTTGTGGGGTGTGAGAGATAGTATCATACTATCTTGAAAGTGTCAATAGATTTTCCAAAAATACCTTCATCTACTTCCAGTGAGTTGTTTCCCATGGTTCAATATGACAAATAGTAACAACGGGCCAATCATCAAAATAGATACTTTTTTTGTACTGGACAGATAAACAGATCTAGTTTTTATTCGGGATGCTATCTGCAGTTTGGCTTCATTTTGGGGTACTTTCCCTGGATGGTTTTTCTTGAGGGAGGCAGGAACGAGAGGGGGAAGC